ACCTTCCTAATGCCATGACCCTTTAATACAGTTCCTCATGTTGTGATGGCCCCCAACTATAAAATTACTTTCATAGCTACGTCATAACTGTAATTCTGCTACTGTTATGAATTGGGCGACTGCTGTAAAAGGGTCGTTCAAAGCGGTTGTGACCCGCAGGTTGAGAACCGCTGAACTAATTAGATCATATAGTGGGAGAGGGCATATGGAAGCACTAATTGCAGAGCTGAGGTGGGTGTGGTTCCTGTCACAGACAGCAGAGTCTATGTGATCATCAGAATAATTTCATTTGTGTGAAATTATTACGTTGGCTATTTAGGCAGGGTCTCCCTATGAGTTAAGTCGATGTGAAACCTACTTGTTCTATTAAAGTGGAAGAATTTTGGATCAGGTAAACAGCAGTCAAGCTAGAATTACCAAACTCTAGGATCACAACTCCTCAATTTATTCCTGTACTTGAGCCAATTTACAGACCTACAATCCCTTCAATGAAAACGAGGTTGGTTCCCTTTCAGGAAGCATTTCTCTGCATCACCACAGGTGTATATTGTTAGTCTTTCTCCCAGCCTTCCCCAGAGGGATCTGCAGCCTTTTAAAAAGAGTGGCTGTTCACTGAGGAAACAGATTTGGGGCATATTACGGGTCAGTGGCTCAGAATTAACACTAATTTCAGGAAACCCAAAATATTATGCAAACCCAACAGTAAGAGCGGAGGTGAAGTTTTTAATGGAGTGCTAGCTTATGTTCATCTCATAATGGGTCCATTGGTCACCAAGCCCAGCCTGTTGTCATTCCCTCGGTTCCAAAATGCATAATTGGAATACACATACTCAATAATCAGCAGAATCCACATATTGGATTCCTAAAGTGTGGAAAGGGGGCTTCAATGTAGGAAAAGGAAAGGTGGAGACCATTAGAACTGCCTTCACCTCGGACAACAACTAGAAGCACAATGTTATTACTGGAAGGATTGCAGAGATTAGTGCCACCATCAAGAACTGGCAAGATGCATCAGTCATGATTCCCATAACATCCCCATTTAGCTCATCTATTTAGCCTATGGAAAAACTGGACAGATTGTGGAGAATGACAGTACAATGTTTCAATCATAACCAGGTTGTGATTCCAATGGCAACTTTTATCCAGAAGTGGTTTTGTTGCTTCAGCAAATAAATGCTTCTCCTCTACCTGGTACACAGTGAGGAATCTGGCCAATCTCATTTTTCTCCATTCGTTTTGAAGGACTGCCAAGAGGAGTTTGCCTCCAGCTTCCAGGGACTACAATACAAGTCCGTAACTCTATCTCAGGGTTATATCAATTCTTCATCCATACGACATCATTTTGTCTGTACGGACAGGGACCTAACTGCACGATTCCGTTACATTCATGACACTTATGATTAGACCCAGGATGAAAGAAGTATCAATTGCTTTAGGTTTATTGGTAAAATATCTGCATATAAGAGGGTGGGAATTAATCTGACAAAAAAATAAGCTATCCTCCACCTTAGTGACATTTCTAGGGGCCCAATGATGTGGGGCAAGTGAAGATATTCTGAATAATGTGAAGAATAAGTTAAGCATCTGACCCCTCCCACAATTAAAATGGAGGCAAAACTACTATTCATGAACTGAAACCATGTCTTATTCACCAACATGGTATCCCATATAGCATTGCTTCTGATCAAAAAAGTCACTTCCAGTAAATGAAATGTGACAAGGTGCCCATAATCCATTGGTTATACTATGCTCCTCGTCATCCTGAAGCAGCTGGTGTGATGGAAAGAAGGAATGAACTTCCAAAGACACAATTATGAATGACAACAGCCATGCTGCAACACCTTGTCAGGTTGGGGAAAAATTCTCCTGGAGATGGAATGTCCTCTAAACCGCTGACCAACATCTGGTGCCATGTCTCCAATCGCCTGGATTCATAGGTCCAGGAACCAAGGAGAGGAAATGGGAGTGGCATCATTCACTATGAACACTGGTGTACCACTTACAGCTTTTTTGTTTCCTGCCCTGGTGACCCTATGCTCCTAAAGTCTGGAGGTCCTAGTTCCCAAGAGAGGAATACTCTGACCTGAATAGCACTTAGTCAATTGGACTGGTATTTAAGAGGGCCTCCTGGACATTTTTGTTTCTCATGCCTGTGTATCAACAGGTAATGAGTGGTGTTACTATTGAGAGGTATAATTGATCTTGATTATCAAGGGGAAATTGGATTGGTGTTATGTAACTGGGGTAAAGAATATGTCTGGAATCAAGGAAATTCCTTAGGTCCTCACTTAGTACAACCATGCCCAGCGATTAAAGTCAATGGTAAACAACAGTAACTAATTCTGACATTACTAACGGCCCAAACCCCTCAGAAATGAAAAGCTGGGGTCGCTGCACCTAGTACAGAGGCATGCCCAGCTGAGGTGCTGCCGGAAGGCAAAGGGGGTACAGACTAGATAGTGAAGAAAAGATCAGTTATGGCCATGTGATCAGTTGCAGACACCTCCTCTTGCCTCCCATCACTGGGCTTCTCCACCTGGCCTGCCACACGTTGTATTGCACTGCTTGGTTCAGCCACCTTGCACTGCCATGTTATGAGGTCCCACATGGGGCTACTAGGCCCCGCTAGGCCCTGTTCACTCTCTCTGCCCCTTCTATCTCTTAGTTCTTTGGCTCTTGGGCCTGGTAGGCACGTGAATCGACACATCAGCCAACCCATAACAGTAAGTCTGAGTCCTCTCTCTCTCTCTCTCTCTCTCTCTCTCTCTCTCTCTGCAGTGGTGTCAGCTGTTTATTGTCGTAAATTTTCTTTACATAAACTTCTCTACTTATGTACATTTACAAGTGTCTTGGTTTTGTTTCTCCTAGAACCCAGGGTAATACAAAGTATTATCACATATAAAGAGCTTTAACATGAAAAATGTACAAGAATGACAATGCTGATAAATATTGAACTAAAAATGTTATCCAAAGCCAAGTAACCCTTTCAGGGACAATTTGTATATATCTTAGGAAAGCTATGAAAAATCATAAAAGCTATGTATAAAAAAAGTTCATATTCACATTTCAGGTTTTTATATTCTTACAAGCATTCAATGGTATCCATTTATCTGCAGCTTGTATAATCATATACCTTAAATTTTTATAAAACTAAGAAGATGGCTATGCATGGAAATGAAAAACAGAAGAGTTACAAATATCATTTTATTCAATATATGTCAGTTAATAAAGATGATCATTTTTCCCTCAAATAACAGGTCCTACTTAATTTACACCAACATTAAGAATTTCCTTCATTTTATACCATCTGCATTCATACTTTGACCATCTCCTTTTCCATTTTATTTAGCAGTGTTCCACCTATATATAATAGTTGACATATGTAGTAAGCACATTTTCAGAAGTTGTACTGTAGCAGCTCAGTTATCAATGCCAATGCAATCCAGCCTACCCACCTACTACAAACAAAATTTTTTGAAAGATTGAGAAACACACATCTGCCAATAAACTCTGAAATTTGAGCAGCTCTTCTCTTCCTTGGCTATATTTCTTCAGTTTTGAAGCGACTACTTCCTGCAAAACAGGGAAGTAATTAGGTATTTATTAAGTTTGGGAAAGATAAATAATTACATCACACATGCAGTTGTACTTCAGTACATGTTCCTCCCCAGCATTAGAAACAATTTTTCATCCTTCAGACTATATTACAGAAGAACACATAATATATTTTTCTTAGTGCTTCACCATAATGTCCACAGAGTGGAAAGCATGGTTTTCTCGGTAGGGTGTAGGTGGATGCTATGGTGATTGTGTAATAGATGCTGATATTTCTGATTAAACTGAATCCTAGCTTCAGCTGGCTAACAAATATCTCTAATAGTCTCACCTTTATGAACGGGGTGAACATTTTACGTATTCTCTTCTAATATAAATGCTTTAGAAATGTTCATATAACTAAACTTTTTAAGTGAAAAATTATATGTGTCTATATTCAAATTTTAACCATGATATACATTTATCCTTCTTATATAGAAAATCCTTTTTAAGAAACAGTCATTTCCTAACTTTTTATTTGAGAGATAAGACTTTTAATTCATTAAAATTCATTTACTTAAAAGTAAAGTTGCTAAAGCCAAATTTTAAGACATTAAAAGTCAATTAAAATAGAACTGCTTAGAAAATTGAATGTTCTTTAGGGCTCCAAACTTATTTTTAGGGAATCTATGGGTGATGTTGAATGATTTTAAAGATAACAATGTGATAACTATCAAATTTTAAAGATAACAATGTGATAACTATCAAATCCTAAACCACCAGAGTAGTTCTAGACTTCCAGCAAAGATAAAAATCAAAAGTAAAACTTCCACTAGTGGACATACATGTAAATAACCACAAACTTATGTAAATGACAATAACTACCCAAAAAATCTGATTTTATTTTTTGACTCCGTATAAAATACACAGTATATTATTTTCTCCAAGCACTTGGGTCCTGAAAATGTTTTAAATCTAAGAAAGAAATGAAGCTGTATCATTAATCAACTTGCTGTTACCCATTTCCCTCTGGTCTTTTTCACAGTGCTGTCCAAAGTTCACATCCAAAGACTCTTTGTGAGAAGAACCAGACATACAGCATAGAGAGAATTATAAGTGCACCTAAATCAATTAGTGAATCACTATCACAAAAAAGGGATCAAGCTGAGGGAGTGTCCATCGATCTACCCTAACAGGACTGACCATGTGGAGCCGCTCTCCCAATGTCTCTCTCTCCTCTCTGTCGGTCAGCCATGATCGCTCATGACAACCCCACCGATGGCTTCTCTTTATACTTTAGCTTTCCTTAATTTAAAATAAAGCAATGAAGTATGGCACCAAGAAATAGCTTTTCACTCTGTCAGAGAACTTTTATTGTGTAAAATGTGAATGTTACAGCTTTAATTGTTTTGTAAAATTTTTTATTTATAAAAGTTTGTTTTTGCACCCATTTTTTTTCTTTTCAGGATTTACATCAAAACTCAGAGACTTCAACAAAAGGTAAAACACATATACCCAAAGGTATAAAAAGGAAAGGAAAAGAATGTCATGGGTTTGATTCAATTTCTCATCAGAATATTATAGTTCTATAACCTATTTTGTACCCACATATTAAATACTGTTTGAGATTTAAAAATGCTTTGCTAGAAAACTTGCTACTTATGAAAGTGATTATTCTGTACATAAGTAAACACCATACTCGGTTCTAACCATTTAACCTGGATTTTAAAAAAGTAAAGAGATCTATAGAAATAAGCAGAATGCTATTATTTATATTTTGATGTAAGAAAACTTAAAATGTATCAATTGTCTGTCTCCAAAGTTACTAATTTCAAATTAAAATCCAAACTCTACTGGAAAGAGCATACTAACATTGTAGATAAGAGAAATAGGATAGCGAATAATTAGTATTTACAGGGGATGTGAGTACAAAACTACAGACTTTAGGATTTTGTTTTTAGAAGAGATGGTGGTTGTTGGCAATTTCATGTAGAGCAAATTGCCTGCCCTTTGGAATCAGGCAGAAATGGATTTTAATACCAACTTGGCCACTTTTTGACTCTAATATTAGATATCTAAACTCTTTACATGTCTGCATAAAAAATAAGACAGTATTTGATGTGCGGGTCATGATTGGCAGTGGTGTTTGCCTATGTGGATGGTACTAAGAATAGGAACACTTTCATATATTCTGGAAAACTAACTTACAGATGTTGAACTCATACTCTTGGATTCAGTGGTGGTAATGGCACACAAATGGTCAACCTGACCTGCTCTCATACCCGTAATTATTTCAGTACCGAGTTATGTACAGAGGGATATTCTCCTGATGTTAATTTGCACACTTCAAAAGATGACTTATTCAATTATATTTAATGACTTCTTTTTTTGCTTCCCATTACTGAAGAAGATGGGGTGGCAGAAGATATGGAAACAAAAACTTGTAATTCAAACATTCCTGTTTCGGGTGTCCATAAAATCCCAGACAGCAATAGAAATATAAGGAGCGAGACCCTCCTATAATATAGCTAACATAGAATCTAAGTGGTTGTACAGTGTGGACAAGCTGGAGGAATGCCTGTATGGAATAGGTTCTTTCTTCGTAGGAGGAAGTTTGAAATGACGCATCCTTCACCCCACATTGCTCTGTGTTGGCATATGCAATCCCACAACACAGCATAGGAATGTTCCTGGAGACTTTTATCTTCTGCTAAATTATTGCAGATTCTAATGAATGCATTTTAATTGAATATATATTATCATCGCTTCTTTATTCCTTGATAAGACAGCGTTTTCTATAGTCAAACTACTTATGATAAATATTTCTTTTAGCATATCTACCAATCTCCATGCTGAGTTCTTCATACAATGTTAATGATCTTATTCAAGATGTAGTCTTCATTTAGAGTTCTGAAACTCTAAAGGAAATTGCATGTGCATATTTCTCTATAGCCTCAAAGAAAACAATGTAACTAGGAACTGGGTTTCTACACAAAAAATCTGTAAAGTTTGTGTTATTATTCAAGGGATGAAGGTCTGTACTTCAAATCTGGGTCTTGAATTATCTAGACATTTGACCCAATTTTCTGAATGGGTGTCTATTTGTACATTTTAAGAGTACAAGAATTATTAGCAAGAATATGGTACTTCAGGCGTCAAAATGCCAATAGTCCAATGTGAAAGCTTGGAAACAAGCTACGTCCATAAATTTATAATTCCCTGCCTCCCGTCGTGCAGCATAATCACTGTTGGTTGGTCTTCAAAGTCTGACGGGACCGGTTTTAAGACTATTTCTGTAGTGCCTTACTCTTCTGCTTCATTAACTGCAACTGAAGATTTCTCAGAGAATTCTAATTAGAGATATTTTCAGTCTACTTGTCCCCTCAGGCCGTTTCAACGAAGGGTGCAATTTGAGAAGTAAAATTTGACTGCCTTGTGAGTTTTACAAATTTATGAACTAAATAATTAATATATTGAACAAAAACAAGAAAGGTTTAATTATGGACAGATTTATTCAGGGAAAAGTTGTAAGAAAATGCATCATGCTGAAATTGATCCCTTTCATGAGGTGTCAGAATGCCTGGACACCTAAACTCACAGAGGTTGCACTAATACTCTTGGATTCCGCGGTGGGTCCACGATGGAAGTGTACCACTTTCTTTCCAAGGGTCTCTGGTGGCACTGTGGGATGAGCATTGGGCTGCTAACCTCTAAGGCAGCCATTCAAACCCACCCTCTGCTCCAGTAAAGCACTCACGGTCTTGGACCCCTAAGGAGAGCTTCTAGTCTTCCTTTGGGGTAACTAAGAGTCGAATCAGCGTAGAGCACGAGAAAGGTGGATATTGAGTAGGAAGACCAAAGAAGAACCAATGCACTTGAATTGTGGTGCTAGAAAAAAATATAGAAAGTACCATGAACTGCTAAAAGGACAAAGTGATCTGTATTTGAAGAAGTAAGGCCAGAGTGCTCCTTAGAGGCAAGGATGGCCAGACCTTGTGTTACATACTTTGGATGTCTTGTCGGGAGAGACCAGTCCCCGGAGAGGACATCCTGTTTGGTAAAGTGGCTGCATCAATGGAATCAGGCATAGGAATGATTGTGAAGATGACTCACGACCGTGCAATGTTTCATCCTGTCCATAGTGTCGATATGGGCCAGAACTGGCTCAATGGTGCCGAACCACAACAATAACATGCTTCAGAAATAGCTTATAAGGAGTGGCATGAGCTTGAGTAAGCCACAGTTTACTGAGTGACGGTGGTCAGCACTCCTTGGAATCAAATGACAACTTACCTTAACGTAGTATCTAGTAATGTGCTTACCAGATTTCTCAGTTGCCAGAGGAAAATTAGTAACTTATATACCTAATCATTCTTCATTTTACTCCTGTATGACAAGTCATTTTTATAAATTACCAATAAACTCCATTTAAATAACTGATGGGAAATATCCAGAATGCCTTTAATATAGAAGTGCATTAGTAAGCCTCATAATCATTTCATTTATTTTGAAACTTGTTTCAGATCCCAGATGTGCATTATAACCATTCTGGTTTTATATTAGCATAATGTATATGATTAGTGTTCAGCCAATGATAAATATATTATCATTATCACGTTTATTTTTATTAACTCTTTAGGTGGGAATTGTCTGAATTCATTATAAGGTATAAAAGAATATACATCTTTTCTGAGACTGAAATCCAAGTAATCATAAACAGGAACAAAATATTGCAATCATAGTTGATTAGAATGTAAAACTAATCATCCCAAACTCTGACTTGTAAATAAGAGACCATGCTCCAAAATGTATACAGCTGTAGTAGGAAGACCTACAGAGATCTACCCTACTAGCAACTAACCAAGGCTTCAGTCAACCGCACAGATGGCTAATTGACTTCCGTCGGTTGAGGGTCAATTTAATTACATGTCATTTAACTGTTATTATAAGAAATTTCAAAGCCATAATTGATGACTTATGATAAATATAGCCTTTTACAAATGACCTGATATCTATCCTTTTCCCCTTTAGGCGTGGTAGAGAATGTCACAGCAGAGCTATCCTCATCCGTCTACCACCTAATTCATCTGTACTGTAGCAGTTTTTACACAGATTTTCAACCTGTACATGTACCTGGAAGCATTTCCTGTATATATCCTGGCTTGGATTCCTATTTTAATTTCACAGTGTATGCAGCTCACAACATTCCAGAGACTTGGGTACACAAGTGAGTGGTGGTGAATTTCTAACTTAAAAGAAATAACTTAAAGTCTCTATAACTTTTATCAGAAAATAATTTTTCTTATCTTTATTTGTAAAACTAAATATATCTTAAAATTTTTGAAATTAATCAGTGTATAATGCTTTTATTCTTAAAATCATTTTTAATTTAGATTTCCATTATATATTTATTTCCCCTAACCCTTCTCTTAACAAACAATAAATAGTATTTCTTGCCAATATATCACTATGGAAATACAAACTGCTCATCTTATCTAGTAATCATCTAAAGATTTTCTTTGTTGTATTTATGACACAGTTGAATTACCTTGTATGACTCTTTGAGCCATAGTTTTTAAAATGATATCAAATGACTAGGTAGGTATGTCTAAATAATGTATATGGAACTCTAACATGGGGATTGGTTAGTTATGTCATTCTGTTGGTTATAAAAGGAGCCATATTAGAGGTAAGAATGGAGAATCTCATGATCATCAAGAAAGAAGAACAATGAGCAGAGCATTCAGAGATCCTTGTGCAGAGAAGTAATGGCAACAGTAAACACACAAGGCAAAAATACCAAGACCATGAAATATAGTGGCAAGTTTCTTAGTCTAGGGTACAGTAGAGCTGACTGCCTCTCAACAAGGAGGCAGACAAGCAGAGAAAAGTTCTCTTTGAGCATTTACCAGTGCTGAAGGAGCTTTGTAACAATTTACCAACCAGGACAGGGGTTATGGGACTATGACTGAGGCCGAGGACCAGAGACAGGCCTACACGCATGAAAGAGAAGACCTGCTGTAGACAAAAGAACTGTATCCTTAACATTCCCGACCTTCACTTGTAACTTATTAACTTCCCCCAGATAAGGCCATCGTCATTAGTATTGTCTGTGAGTTCTATGTATCATTGCAACAGATAATTGAAGTCTGCATACAGTAAAGAGGGATGGTTGGTGTCAGAGTAGGGTAGAGAAGATTAGAGTGTGGAGGCATAGCTGATATATGCCTCATAGAAATTGGCCTTAGGCCCTAAGGCTTAGGGTGATTTAAATTTGAAATCTTCCTCTTTGCATAGCCAGTGGTGGTCAGATGTAGCCTCTACATCATTCCCTCAATATTTGAGTCAAATTGACTAATGCTAATTAGTAATCTGAATAATTGAGAGATAAAGAATAAGAGCACATATACAAGGGGAACAACCCCCCCCCCCAAAAAAAAAAAAGAGAAAATGCTCTGCTGGGCATAGCTTTCATAGTATACATTTTTCCTGCTAGCCAAGCATTGAGAAAACTGATCTGAGTTAGTGCACCCAGTGGCTTCTCCTGGAAAGGTTCTCTCTGGTCACAGTGAATTTTTCCATAAAAGCCATTTCCTTTGAACCTTGTTTTTTGTGATGGCTGATTTAAGAAAATAGAGTGCAACTGTGAAATTTTGCTTCTTGCTTGGGAAAAATGCTTCAGAAACTGTTGTGATGTTGAACACAACTTACAAGGACAGTGCTATGGGAAAAACTAAAGTGTATGAGTAGTTTTCTTGTTTCAGAAAAAGTGAAATGTCAATTGCTGATAGACCTAGTTCTGAATGTCTGTCAACTTCCCGAATAGACAAAAATGTCGACAGAATGCATGCACCCGTGCTCCAGGACTGACACCAGACCTTTGAGGAGGTAGTCTGGACTCTCGTGGAGTTCAGTTCACCAAATTTTCAAGGAAGATTTGAGAATGAGAAGGGTCACTTTGAAATTTGTGCCTCATGTTCTGAGTGACCAATAAAGAGCTGTCATGTAGAAACATGCCCAAGCAAATCAGACTTTTTCCCCAAGGTCATGTCTGGTGATGAGACATGGTGCTATTCTTATGACCCTGAAAGCAAACATCACTCAAGCCAGTGGAAGATGCCATTGTCACCTCAACAAAAAAAAGCCCATCAAGTGAAAGCAAAGATCAGTATGATGCCCTTGTGTTTTTTTATGTGAGGGGTGATAGTGCATTTGGAGTTCCTTCCACCAGGTCAAACTATTAATCAAGCTTTCTATTTAGAGGTCCTGAAAAGATTGCATAATAGTGTGGCAGACAGATGACTGGTTTTACCACCACGACAATGCACCTGCAAATGCAGTCATCTCATTGTGTCAGCTTTTGGCAAAAAACAGCTACCCTCTCTTGTCTCACACCCCTGGTCTCGCTCTGTGCAACTTCTTTTTGTTTTCAAGAATGAAGAAGGACGTGAAAGGACAGTGATTTGATGACATATACAGGCGAAGAAAAAAATACAAGGGAAGTACTATCACCCATCAAAACAGATGAGCTTGAAAAATGTTTCCAAGGATGGAATTGCAGATCTGACAAATGTATTAAGAGTAATGGAGAGCACTTTGAATGTTATAAGGTTGCTTTGTAAAAAATATTTACATACATAGTTTTAAACAAAGATCCATTTTTTGTAGGGTACCCTCTTGTACACATTCTGAGAGAAATAAAGTGTAAACACATAAAATGAATATCTGAAAACAGAAACCAAAAAAAATGTAACTCTGATCCTCATGAAGCTGAGGGGAGTAGATACTTTGTGAAATTAGTCACAGACAGATTATCCAATAATAAATGTCAAAATAGATCTAGAGCAAGTATCTGACGCCTCTGACTTCTCAAAGGGGAAGGAGAATTTAACTCAAAATCAGCCCAACCTAAAGCCAATTATTTTGAAGGAGGGGTCAAACAGAACTCCTTCCCCCTTTCCTTTGCCAATTTTGACACCAACTGTCCTTCCCTGCACTTTACTTTTCAATTAGGTTCGAGAAGTCTGTACAATGTCTACCCAGAACTCATATGATACCCATAATTGTAGTGTCTACTAAGGATGTAAATAGGTTACAAAAAGGATAAAAATGATGATTAAATATTTAGGAGAGAGTTAGTTGGTCTTGACAGACTCTTCCGTACCATGCCTATAGGTAAGTCTCTCTCTGTTCCTTGGTGCCTTGGTGTGACCTCAGCCCTGCTTAGCAAGTTTACAAAGCTCTTTTACCACTTCTAATAAATGCCCAAGGGAACACTACTGTACCTTAAACTTCATCCTGAAAAAGATCGGCTATGACTATAAATCAACAAGCCTAAGTCCCCAGTGAGTGCCTGCAGGTGCACCACTCCGCAAGTGAGGATCCCGGCAGAAGGCTTTCTGCTGGACTTCCTTCCTGGGCACAGAGACCTAACACTAGCTCTGGCTCGGGCTCTTAGTTCTGCTCCTGCTGCCATTCCTTTGCTAGTTCTTTGTGTCACCGCTTGCTTTCCGTAGATCAAGAATGGTCAATACCCAGGGGTCTTGCTTTTTGATCCATCTGGGACTCGACCATCTTCATGGTAGTGAGACTGCCCCTGCTTCCTTCTTCTGAGATAGTTCATATTATACAACTCCCATGTTAGAATTTCAAGATTTTACTTTAATCTTTAACCCAGTTTACAATAACAATTAACCCTGTTAGCAATCAGTCAGAACTGAATCACCTAACTTATCTTTATCTTCCCCCAACTTCTTTTACCTAGACCCATCAGGAAAAAGTAATTTGGCTAGAGTTACAAAGATTATAGTTTTAGGATCCATGTTAATAATTCACTGCACCACAGTAAGGTAATCTTGGACCTACTTGTGCTTGCTTACTTATCTGTAGTAAGAATCACCTGGTGGAAAATTAAAAAGTACATGCAAGCACGTGATTATCTTGCTTACTGGATACTCTGTCCTTGTCAGAGAATGTAAATTTTTAAAAAGGCTTTGATTTTATCGATAGGTACTCTAGGTTGTGATACAGATTGGTATTAACCATGCAGAATTTTTGATGTAGTGAAATATCATGAACATTTTTCGTTATAGAATAGTAAATTAACACAAGTATACCTGTGATTATCTTGCTTATTGGATAATACAACACTGAATTTAGTATGCAGAAAAAGTTGGAACTTAGCCAAGAATTATTTGAATTACAATATAAATGAACTATAAGTATACATTAAGCAATCAGTTTACGATGTTGACTCTAATATATGTCATTGCTATATAAAATGGACATTATCAAACAATATCATTAATATCACCTGCAAATAAAATTGTTTGAAGACAATTCATTAATGACTGCAATGATGCATGAACAGAGAGCTGCCAGATATTCAAGCCAAATTCTTCTGAGGACATTGAATGAAAGATATTGCTGACATCAATGCATCTTAGCTGAAAGCACACAATGTCAGAAAGATGTTTATTACTGTTCTATTGATGGTGAAAGAATATTTGATTCTGTGTATCTTAACGATGTATGGATAACATTGTAAAGAATGAGAATTCCACAAGACTTAATTGTGCTTATATACGCAGACCCAGTGACAGAGGGTACTGCATGGTTTAAAATTAGGGACAATATGTCCTAAGGTTAAATGCTTTCACCATAGTTAGTGAATGTACATACACAACAAGTAATCTGAGAAGCTACACTATGTGAAGAAGAATGGGGCATCAAGCTTAGAGGAATGTCATTTCAGTCTGTGACATACAGAGAACTCCAGACAACATTTTGTTGTCTGAAACCCAAAGGACTTGAAGGCCTCGAGGAAAATCAGTCTCAGGATGAACTACAACTCAATGTAAATAAACTAAAAGCGCTCACGACTAGACCAAGGGCCAACATCATGATGAATGCTCGTGGAATCAGCAATCAAGAACTCACAGGTGCTGCATTTGGCAGATCTGCTGCACAAGACCTCTTTAAAGTCTCAAAGACCAAAGAGGTGCCTGGCCCAAGTCTTGGTATTCTCAATCCCTGCGTGTGTACATGAAAGCTGTACAAAGAATAAGGTAGAGAGAGTTGACACATTTGAATTAGGGTGACAATGAAGAATTCTGGAAACATCAAGCATTTCCAGAAAAGCAAACAAACCTGTTTTGAAAGAAGTACAATTAGAATGCTCCCTCGAAGTGATGTTGGGGAGACTCCATCTTTACACAAATACTGTAC